AAATATTCAAGACAGAGACAAATGCAAAACACATAAATCCCATGCCTGATGATGTCAGATAGAGTTCCAGCGTATTTGCATTTTTGATGTTTCAAAAGGTGAAATAAAATCTACCCTAACTTAGTGTAAGATTGATGTGAGAAGCTGCGACAGTTTACTAAATGCAGGCGATAGTGATCTCTCTTCGCCGGTAAAGCCCACACACATTTACTCGCTTGACTAAAAGGAAATTAAAACGCCGACAGACATTTATACTTGATGATCATTCGAGCATAACACCCATCCGTTATCCACTGATGCATACGCCATAAACATTAATGAACAAAAGATACAGTTACTAAATGCCTATCGTGTCTAGCAGCCGCCTGAACTACAGCGTCGGTCTGAACCTTGCGCGATGCCCGTGCGGTTCCAACCCGCGTCCGAAATCACGGCCCGGCCTGTACCTAGCCTGTAGTTAAACATAAACATCCACGGGGGAGACGCAGGGCACTTGTAAGGCCAACTATTTGTTTGATCGCAGCCATCATGGCTAAATTGAAATGGGAGCCCCAGCGTATGAATATCGTTTGCGGGCGTGATCGGTGCACGCGATGCGGCGGTGTGCGCTCTGGGCGCGCCTGATAGCATCTCCCTGGGGCCGCCGGCTAAACGGGAACCATCCAGACAGCAATGGTTAGAGATTGTGGCTGCGAATGTACATGAAAAATGGGAACAATCTCCTAACTGTAAAGACGTAACCCTTTAACGAAAATGTAGCTGCAGGTAAGTAGGTAACTAGGCTGAGGAGGGCGAGAAAGGAAGGACTACTTGAAGGTTGTAAATAACGAGAGAACTTCATATTTAAAACCACGTTTGCGATTTGCGAACACCTGAAAAATAAGGCAGTGGTAGTTAACATCAAATAACAAATACTAAATGGTTCATTTTCCCGACAATCCCTTTTTCCTGCTCAATGGATGAATAAACGAGAAATGGAAATGAATCGGACGTCAGCGTAACGGTGATAAACCGGAATTTTATGTAGGGGGTTGTTTATCGGTGTTAACGGGAAAACAGTTTAAATTGACATATACACCGGTTGCCGAAACGAGATAGGTTCTTGCACTCAAGAGGATTGTCTTCAATAAAGTTTTGTACTTTGTATCACATTCTGTGCACAGTGCGGTGATCAGGTAGGAGCTTCGAAATTGGAGGAAATAATGGTAGTGATTTTCTGGCCTCAGTAATACCTGATATCTAGTTTCTTTAGAATCTTTTTGCTCTTTTGGAGATGATTGACCATTCTCTTCAGGAAATAATTGCCTCCGGTACTCAATAGAAAAAAAATAGTGGCTTTACTTGGCCTTTGGTATCTTAATTGTAATTTGAAATTTAGTTCTAATGGATACTGTCTCTTTTCTCTTTTGGTATCCCCCCTCCCCCAGGCAATTGGAACAGTCCCAAAGATAGGGTGCTTTCGATCATGCATTGCTGTCACTGGAACATGTCCAAACACAAAGGCTGAAAATCGATACCTAATTTGTATAAATATCGCCCTTCCGACATGCCATTACGGTGAAGAATGCCGACTGTACGTTATCGCAGCTCCGCTATCGAACCTGCCGGTCCCGTGTCGTCAGGACACTGACCTTGGCCGTGCCCTGCTGGTAAAAATCACGTAAAAGGGAGAAAAGAAGAGGTCAAAAATAAACTTCCGCCGGGGGGGGGGGGTGACGGGAACAAAGTTTCTCAATTACCCTCATGCTATATATACATCCTGAGAGTTGCTGAAAATGATATCGGGAATACTGATACCAATGCAAGAATAGAAACAAAGACTACCATAATAAACAAATAAAGGTAAGTGGTGTTTCAGAAAATTATTTAGGTCTCACTCCTGATTACTTCAGAGCATCACACATTAGTATGTGGGTAGTTTTATTGTCAGGGCGGGGGTAGGGGAGTGACAGCCAGACGTGAGTAGAGTGGACTGTATTCGCAGCGGCGCCAGGCGTTAGAAAGGAGGTCAGCTGGAGAAGTGTAGCGCAGTTGTTCGGGAAATGGACCATAATTTGGAGGCCATGTGTCTGACCCCTGGCTGTGCTACTAAGTGCTGGTTTGCCTCGGTTGCATCTACTCGCCTGATGTGGACCTCACCTGTGCTGCTTATGCCAACAAACTCTGTTTAAGAAATCAAATTATACATGTATTTGAATATGAATTGGTGCTATTACAAAAGCTATTTTTTCACTAGCACTGATGTTTTTGTTTTTATCTCAAATTCAATGGCGACTAGTGCTCTTCGATCCTTTCCGATCGACGTGGAGCCAGGTCAAGCGCTTTTCGTCCCGTTGGTTCTCAGCACATCTCGTTCTGATTCCCGGGACCATCGCGGGCTGTGGCAACATTAGCAAACCACCCGTCATGCAAACCTGGGCTCACAGCGTGCCGTGCATGGATTTACACTGGTAAATTATGCAGAAAGCAATCTGAGGCGGGGATTATGTCCTTTACCTGCTCACCCTGTTCCACTGCATGGTTAGATCTTTAATTACTCTTCGCTACGGGCCTGTGTTCCGCCGCCGGGCTATTTGGACCGATTAGCAGGGCTTCATCAAAGATCCCTCCGCACGTTCTTTGATTGTAAATCGGGTGTGTTTGAGCCCGCTGTGATCTATGGGGGGATTAGGGGGGAATGTTTTGCCAGAGATTGGCAGAGATTTCGCTTCTGAATAATGTACGACTGGAACCTACCCAGCTTTGAAAGAGAATGGCAGGAAAAAGTAACGTAGTCTTTTTGCTCTTTACGAATTCTGAAGACGTACTAGTAGCTTTCATGTGTTCATCTTTAAAGCACTTTTTTAATATTTGGGAGCAAACTTTTGAATTATACTTTGCAGCCTTTTTGTCTGCAAAAAAAATTACGCAGTAAGACGCCATGCCGAAGGGGTAAGTAAAGATTACTTCTTTTTGTCCTTGAAGCGTTCTCTTCGCATTTTCCATACTGAATAAGTCCGTAACACGCTCTCTCAGAATGTCCCCTTATCTCTGGCACACAGGCGCCCGCATTACACCACCTCCCGACCTGCCCTGTAACGGAACCTAGCAGAATATTTGCACCCACTTCCACCGCAATCATCCATATGTAGCAGAATATTCATAACGCAGTTTTGGATAGAATAAAGACCTTTTTCGAATATCCACCATAATCTACGATAAACTATACCCCATCAACAGTATTTTATAGATCTAGATGCCTGCAGTATGTAGCGATTGTGCCAATGGAACAGACCAATATCGTAAAAAAAACTTCGGGAAAATAAAGGATAAAACGACAAGCAAGTAGTGATGATAATCAATAAAACAGGTGAAAAGGTGTGGTGCACGACGATTCTAAACAACGCATGAATATTGTAGGATAGACATACTGATGAGTTAATATTCATAAACTGAAATTTCACCAACTAGTTTTTCCTTTACATCAAATTGGAGTAACCTAGGTTTTCAGGACGATGGTTTCAGAAAGTTTATGGCGCTGAGGAAGTGGTGTGGTGTGCCTGGGTCGTTAAACCGTGTTACTTCATCTTCCATTCTGAAGAGCCAGACCAGATGGTCTCCTAACGCCTCGTGTCCGATCACCTGCTCTGACGTCATGTGCTGACGTCAACACAGTCCATCCTACCCCTGGAGTTATCCATTATCGCGTTATTGTACGGGACGAGTTGCGGTCCGGTCTTTCTCCTGTGCTGGGGCATGGCGCGACTTAGTAGTAGATGGGTCTGGCGGGAAAAGTCTATCAAATTTATCAAATTTTGCTGTAATTATGGAGACTTCAATGTCTAATAAATCAAATTTCAACTAGACATAATTCTTTTTCATGGCGAGCTAGAATTACAAATTCTGCTTTTCTCTTCCGAGATGGCCCACCTAAGATACGTAAAAGCACGAGTTAGAATCACTAATATTTTTAAATGAAGATACTTGCCGGGCGTGTCTAAAGACTTATAGTCATACAAGAGTACGTAGAGGGAAAAAGAGAACTTTCAAAAGTGCCACCAAAGTCCTAAAAGGTTGCATTGCATTTCTGACCCATGATTATAGTGTTGGTTCAGAGACAAGATCACAGACGTAAGGTAAGAACCGAGGGTAAGGAGATTTATGCCGCTTCTTTCATCGAACTCTTGAAATTGACGCTTCTGACGTTACAGGGTAGAAAACGAGCGAGCTCTGACGTCAGGGTGACGTCACTGTGCCAAAGTCAAATTTCCGGTTACACCACGGTTAGAAGAGAGACGTCACGCTGAAAATCCAGGGCATTTTAACGGCTTAGTAGGATCAATATAGCCTGGCACCATTGGAAGTCATGTCGATGTGTTGTGAATGCTAGAAAATAACGTCTTTTAATCTGCTTGACGCGTTTCAAATTCTGTAAAAATGAGAAGCATAGAATCAGCTGAATAATGCATCAAACAGAACCTTGTTTTGTAGCAAATCGATTCAAACCTGCATGGCCTGCAAACTGATTGCTCAACGCTGCCCCTAGCGGACGTCTTCAGAATGCAACTGCTGTGCGCGTTCTTTGTTTTATGTCTGCGTGTCTTTTACACACACAAAACGATTTAAAAAACGTTGTTCGTCTATAAAATTAGTTGAAGGATCTGTCAAATACTAGTACTTATATGCTTTATAGGTCATAATTGGGAAAAGGGCCCCTTACAAACGTCGCCATGGTAATTACTTGTTTGTTGGGCTCGGTCGGGATTTTGTCAAATGTTCAAATCAACCAGGGTTCCGGCGACAAAAATGCACCGTTTCCTAATCGTTATAGTGTGTACATGTACATGTACAGTGTGTACATGTAAGCAAATGTTTTCTCACATTTTGCATGATGTATGCGTACGTAGAATGTACTATGGAGAGGTTATCGATTGTATGTCAAAGGTCGCAGGTCAGGTTGATTATTCACTACAAGATATACTATACCGTTCCAAAGGTTATTCGAACCAAGAAATTTAAAGTCCCCCCCCTCTCAATAGCGTTTGTTTTCCAATAATGTTTTCCAAAAAATGATGAGACACAAAAAGTACAGAATAATAACCAGGATGAAAAGTTCAAAACCTGTGGAGTAAAAGTCAAGCGCAAAATGGCGACAGTAGACGTGGTAACTGTAAGACGTTCAGTTGTTTATTTCGCTGTTACTCTCCTGTTTGTGACGGTTTCCTGTGTTTCTGTAACGCGGGATCCTCCGTACGAGACGCGCTACTTCCACCAGTATCTGGACCACTTCAACTTCGCTAGCCGTGGCGCAGGGACATTCAAGGAGAGGGTACTTGTTTCTGGTAGGCGTACTTATTTCCACACTTTGGACACCTACATAACGATAGCCTCCCAACACAGTTATGCAAAAGTAGAAGTAACATCAGATCACAGTAATGTCGTGTTATTTTTTCATATTCTGTTTCTGCGAGGACTTTGACGTGGCCTCAAGGTTTACTATCAACGAACTATATACATGAACAAAATCACTGCTACAGATGCATTCTGGAGATCCGGAGGTCCTATCTTTTTCTACACTGGGAACGAGGGACCCATCACGAGACTGTGGAACGAGATCGGGTTCATGAAGGATCTGGCAGAGCAGTTTGAGGCTCTGATCGTCTTTGCAGAACATGTAGGTGTATTAATTTCCTTCTGTTAGACTAGGAGGGTAGACTTTTGTTTGTACATACATACAAACTTTCGCGCCTTAATGTAGCATGATAGTGACTTCTTTGGGGTATATCAAACCTATTAGCGATATGTGAATACTTGAATATTCTTCTCCTCATAGCGGTACTATGGAGAATCTCTACCTTTTGGAGAGAATACCATCTCCCAGGAGAACATGGGCCTGTTGACAGTGGAGCAGGCGCTGGCGGACTATGCAGTTCTCATCACCAACCTCACAGTTTCCTACTGTCAGGACCCGGATGTGTGTCCCGTCATCGCTTTCGGTGGCAGGTAAGGACCCGGATGACGGATGTATGTCACTTTCTTCTTCCTTTTGTGCAGGCGCCTGTGCATGCTACACATATTGAGTTCTATAAAATCCTTTAGAACCTTGATCACCGTTGATATGTAGCATCCTCGTTCTAACACAGTTACGGCGGGGTCCTGAGCACCTTCTTGAGGCTGAAGTACCCTAACCTGGTGGCCGGGGCTCTCGCCTCCAGCGCGAATGTGTACATGTCCGCTGGTCTCACACCAGGGAACCAGCTCTTCCAGGACGTCACTGAGGTGCGTCAAATAAACTTCTGTATGTGTGGTTCTCTTCATCAGATTCAAATTATAATCAACTGTGTAATAGTATATATAGTTTGTTAGTTTTAGCATTTTCACAAGCATTCAAGAGGCTACAGAAACCGCACATCTTTAGCAACTTACTTGGGTTCCAGATTAGTTCGTTTTACTTTGAAAAGCAACAAACATTGCATCTCTAAGTAAAATCAAGCTAATCTTTTGCATGTGTATGCCTTGAACAGGATTTCCGCAGGTACAACCCCAGGTGTCCGGACCGGGTCCGGGAAGGGTTCGCTGAGATGGAACGACTGGCCGGTCAGGGAGAACAAGGTGAGGCGTCAACATCACCTCACGCCCTGTGCTCTACACATTTTCATCTCTTCCATCATTTAGTCTTTGCAATGTGTACTGAACAGATGTTTGATTTTCACATCAACCATGTTTCTCCCTCTCCAGGCCTACATGAGATATCTACCAGAATGAAACTATGTTCCTCTCTACAAGACCATGCCGACCTCGTGAACATGTACCGCTGGGTGCGGGAGGCCTTTACCGTGCTAGCCATGGAAGACCTCCCCTACGCTATATCTAATGGACCGTTCCTACCAGCATACCCCGTCAACGTAAGAATGTTTGATTTCTTTTAAATTTGTAGTAACAGTGATGTGCACGATTTTGAATGATTTTAAGTCTGTTAAACATAAACGTTCTTCTCAGATTACTTTTTATAATGCAATCGTTTATCATGTAGGCTGTATTTTACTGTCATGCATATGTTTTGAATAACACGTGATTTGAAAGGAAATATTACTCATTAAGAAAGCATTTGCAAACGGCACAAATTTCCCAGGCTTATCAATTGTCATATTTCGTTACTTGCAGGCTTCCTGTAATCTGCTGTTGAAGGCCACAGACGGAATAGAGGAGATCTTGCAGGCCGTTGGTAAGATGTGCACAAGAACTAGTTTCATTTTAAAGGTCTTACGAAGTAAGATGAAACACCAATTTACATAAGACGTCCATTTTGTATTCGCCTCCCGACCCAGATTGAATTGCACTCGTATAAAAATGCCTCTGTTTTTCCAGGCATGCTGTACAACTTCACGTCCAACCTGAGCTGTTTTGACCTCCATGAAGATTTCGTGCCGTGTGCAGACCCGACTGGCTGTTCCCTGATGCCGGGTGCAAAAGCCTGGGACTACCAGGTACATGTAGATGACCCTATGTTATACGTGTCAGACCACGTATTTTTCTTTTGTTGATTTTGTTGATTGTTGAGCCCCAAAAAGTTTATTTTCATTCATATTTTCGGTGACAGTCGCTAGGTCTTGAAATCAAGCCAAAATGTCAATGTCATTGATGTGTCAGCATTTTGTGGTTGCATGATTGATATGATCTGAGATGGATTTGGATTGAAAGTCAACATGGACACCTCACTGGCCTATATTGTACCGCTCTGTAGTAATGTTTTTTCCTGCTCTGTGCACGCCCCACCCCCAGACGTGTACAGAGATCAGCCTGCTGGAGAGTACAGATAACGTTACGGACATGTTTCCGCCTGACGCCTTCACGGAGGAGACCAGGGCCGCACACTGTCGGGAGCGGTGGGGCGTTACTCCCAGGCCCGGCTGGCTAGCCACGCAGTTCTGGGGGAAAGGTAGGCAACTTTCAACATCTTTAGTATCCCTTCTTTCTTCCACGCTCAATTGATCCGCGGTGTTACTCTCTCCTATGCTATTAATCGGAAAAGTTAGTAAGTCCAGCTAAAAAGTTTTCTTTTGTTATAGTACACGTTTAGAGTTTATGTTACGTCAGTATATGTGTACATTCTGTAGACCTCAAGGCGTCCAGTAATATCATCTTCTCAAACGGTGATCTTGACCCCTGGCGGAGAGGTGGAGTACTGCAAAACGTGTCGTCTTCCATCGTGGCCTTGGAAATCCAAGGTGGAGCTCACATAATGGACCTTAGGTAATATGTAGTTTACTGTAATTTCTTAGCTGTCGAAAATTTTCGACAACAAGGCAAAGAAAAAATACACTTATCATTTACATTAATGCAAAAGCACACATTTTGCACGATTTTTAGTATTTATATACCATTACGTATTGTATACCAAATATATTGAGAAGTGGTACGTACTGTCCTTAGTGCTGATATACCATTACGCATGCTACACCAATTATTTTGAGCGGTGGTACTGTCCTTAGTGCTGATTTACCATTACTTATGCTATAGCAAACCTTTGAGCGATGGTTACTGTCCTTAGTGCTGATATACCATTACTTATGCTATAGCAAACCTTTTGATCAACGGTACTGTCCTTAGTGCTGATGTACCATTACGTATGCTACACCAATTATTCTGAGCGGTGGTACTGTCCCTAGTGCTAATTTAAAATTGCTCATGCTATAGCAAACCTTTGAGCGATGGTTACTGTCCTTAGTGCTGATATACCATTACTTAGGCTATTGCAAACCTTTTGATCAACGGTACTGTCCTTAGTGCTGATATACCATTAGGTACGCTACGCCAAATATTTTGAGCGGTGGTACTGTCCTTAGTGCTGATATACCATTACGTATGCTATACCAAATAGTTTGAGCGGTGCTACTGTCCTTAGTGCTGATTTACCTACCATTACTTATGCTATAGCAAACATTTTGAGCGGTGGTACTGTCCTTAGTGCTGATATACCAACACGTATGCTATACCAAATAATTTCACTTGTACTATAACAAGTATTTCGAGCGATGATACTGTCTTAAGTATGTCTTACACCATTTACACTCCGTTGTTCTGCAATACAATACAATACATATTTTTCATCTACTTTGTTTGAATGTGTCCTTAGCAAAAACTACATTATCTTTACAGGGCCCCAAATGCCACTGACCCACTGTCTGTGATCCGGGTTCGACAACAAGAAGCACATCTGATTGGGCAATGGATCAGTGAGGCAACCAATCAGAAGGAAGCAAGTGGAAATGGATAAACTAACCGAGTATCTTTTTGTTGCAAAAAACAGTACTATGGGATAATATTAATGTTAAAGGATCTCATTTATCACCTGACGTGATCATGACATCACACGTTAATTCTTTTAGCTTTTATTGATATCTTTACAGACTGTTCCTCTCTTTCTTTCAGTCCAAGGAAATCTTTTTCCATGTAATTCTGTATACAACCAAATCTACTGTAGACGCACACAGTGTAATATCTATATTAGTCTTGACGTTTGTTGTGTTATTCAGTGTTAAAAGCTAATATTTGATGACCCCTCCTCGTAACTGCAGCATAATTGTCTCTTTCAGCCCAGCTTCAGATGAGAAGTGTTACCAACATATCCGAAAAGTCTTCCTACTTTAAGCTAGGTCTGCCATGAGCTGCATAGGGATCGTTTATAAAGTTATCAAGCTAGATAAGATATCAGTTTAAAATGACATTTACTTGGTACCTTTGATGGAGTGATGGAGCTACACACCACACTTTTGAAGTTACAGTAGCGACAAATATTCACATCCTGGCTATCCATGAAAATCTTCAGCAGAAAGCTTCCTCGCTTATCACGAAATCCATTCAAACTTGGTCACTGAAAATATTAACATTTTTGGCTCTTAGTAACGCGTAAATCCCAGATCGCCAGCTGCAGTATCCCAAACAGACACATGTAACGTTACACACATACAGCCAGTCCTCTCTACATTTCAAAAACACTAAATATTCCTTTAGCGCGCTGAAGGAAGCAAACGACAAAATTAACTTGTATTTGTAGACCAGTAGGGCTACTATTTTCCATGCCTACACTTTGCTTATTTCCGACACTTAGTGCCTACGTTAACTACGACGCCGACGGCTCCACCGGAGGGTCATGTACCACTATTTGTCCAAGTCTACTTCTGTTTTCCTTTCTCTCCCTCTTTCTGGCTTTTCTTCGCTTTTTTCTCCGCCGTTCTCTCTTCCGCCGCCGTCTTTCCCTCTTGATCTGTGCGGCCAGCTCGGAGTGGTTGTCGATAACCAGCCCGTCTGGTCCTACAACTGCAGAACATGGAGAAACAGCACATTTAGGTCATATTTACTTCCGAAGAAGACTAGACGCCTGTCGTCGCAGTAACCAGCATTGTAGCAACACCCTGTGGTGTTGGGTTACATTTTGTTGCAGAACAGAGTTGGAGGGGCTGCTCACCATATATCATATATGAATGTGTTTAAGTAACAATAAACAGAGGAGTAGTTTGTTGGGCTAGACCATGTGAAGGTAAACATTATGAATTTGCTTTGGACATGTTACCTCTCTAGTTTTAATGGTTGCGTTCATATGATAAACTGTAATGGTTATGTATTTAGCATTGACTTTCATTGTTGTTTCTTTCAATGATAAATTGGTCTTTGAAACTTTTGTTATGAAGTGTTAATAAAATGAAATGACATGAAATGAAAGCAGAATCCAGTACAAACCTGGACAGAATCTGGGCTGCACCAGACACCTTGTGTTGCTGACCAGCTCGGGACACGGCCGTCCCAGCGGTGACGGTTTCTGCCACACCTGGCGTGACCGGGTCTGGTCACCCCACTTGTACCCACAGCTCGCACCGTTGCGCATGCACGGGCTCCATGGGCTCCAGGGACCTACCTGGCAGTCAACTGTGGGCATGCGCACAACAACGTCAGCGGCGTCTGGTGAGGGACAGAAAGTCACGTGGTTGGAGCGAGCGAGAAGCACACAGACAAGACCCCATAGGTTAGGCGAGAGAGCGTAATGTATCGGAATCAAGCAGTGTCTCTAGATTATGACATCCTGAATCACCGTTATGTGATTTGCTTGTGATCAGAAAACGCGAGGTGTGATTATTACTGCAAGGTCACAGAAGCCACAGACAAGCACACAGTACCAGCTAAAGTTTGGTATCCAGAAAGCAGCAGCAGAATAAAGCAACGCTTGAAGTTTCAGCAACTCAGAAAGAAGTAAGAACAAAAGCGTCATATCGAAACACACATAGGTCACTGAGCGGCTGACCAACTCATCATTTTATTATCATCATAGAGCACGTGCTCTACAACTAATCATTAAGCAGTTTATTGATAAACGGCAATTCGTACAATGAAAAGCAGTATATGATACTCATTGACAGTTGTTGCATGCCAGATTACTGTCGGTAGAAACATTTAACTTACATGGACGATGAAATCATCACAATCTCTTACAAGAAGAAGTGTCAAACCGCTTAAGTACACTCCTGTCTTACCAACATATTGGCACTCCCGTGTGAGGTTGGCGACGTACGGCTGGTCGGCTGGGCAGGAGGACACACACTGCCCTTTATACAGGAGGAACGGCGCCTTACATCGGGTACAGAAACTCCTGCTGTAGCACTGCTCACAGTTCTCCACTTTACATCCTGAAAGGTGCGTGAAACAATAAAAGGGATGTTGATTTTTCCAATGACCGGTGAAGAAATGTGGTACTGTCCCACGCCGGGACAATTTGGACCTTTGATGTACATGTATTTAATAATAACCAGCCCCCCTCCCCATGCTTCACACCCATTAGGGACACATAAGGCCATGTTGATTTGATTAAATGGATGACGTCCGCGCGCGCATGGATTTTCGGCAGTTTCAAAAAAAGTTTTCAACCATACTGTACATCGCACAAAACAGTTGCAAAATGAGCAAATATATACCGTAAAATATTGGAAAAAGATACCAATGTCGTAGAATGCCAAAATCAAACAAAAAAGACGAAAATGTAAAGAAATCAATTTGAAGCCTAGATTATTCGCCATACCATACTCATGTGTCATTTGGTCAACCTTCATAACCACGTAGTTTTCATAATAAAAGCAACTTTTCTTTTGCCAAACATTTTTTATTTGCACGCTCGCATCAGTTCTGGGGTTCCCAGCAGATGTCACCAGTCATCCATATAATCAAATCAACATGCCTTACCATATGACAATGTACGAACACTCCTATATTTCATCACAGCTTACACTTTATGCACTACACTTTGCAGCTGCTAGGTGTCGCTGGGTGAGGGGCAATCGTACGCTGGAAGTTTTAGGAAGATAAGGGTAATTCTTACTCGAGCACTTGTTGAAGTCGGGACTGCGGACTCCGTAGTACCCATGGGGACAGGTGTGGAGACACAGGCCCGTCTGGCGCATGCCCGAGCGGTACAGGAACAGGAAGTAGCGCGGGCGGCACGTGATGCAGCCGTTAATGGTGGAACAACTGGTGCAGCCTCGGGGGCACACTGGGTACAGACCGATAGCTGCAACAATCAGTACATTAGGAATTAATACATCGATAATGATGATTAGTCAATAACCATAGCAAGACCTAGGGTCGGCAGGTGCTGCAGCCGCATTGCATGGCCGAACAACTAGTACAACCTCGGGAATACAGGTCAATAGATGAGAAAAATCAATACATCAGTAATCAATACATATACATGTATAATCAATAATCAACAATATATACAACAATACGCTATGACAAGAAGCCGCGTCTCGTTCAAGCATAGGTCTTTTTTGCATACTGCGATGCTGTGTGATCTTTGGCAGCAAAGACTGCCTTGGCCTCAGAACTTAAGGATCTGATAAGACGTGATTAGAAAGTGCCATTACTCGCACGCGACAATGTTATTGTAAGGAAGAATCTACATATTAGCCTTGTAGCTGCCAACACTTGCACGCTACACTTGAGCAGTAAGTTACACCGTATTTCATAATCTGTACATATTGAACAAACTCGACACAGACCACCTTGACTCGGCACGCAGACAAAGTAATGTCTGGTAAAAAGTGGAACAAGCACGTTCTTTGTGTTGAGTCGAAAGTGATCCGTGTTGTAAGCTGTTGGAAGGGAAGAATAGAGCACGTTAAGACTTGGGCTCGCCACAGGTTAATCGTCAGGGTCGTTATAGCTATTTAAAGGCGAGACGACGATTCGAACTTCTGTAGATATACTTGGAATCTCTCTCCTTTTACCTGCCGTAATATACTTTAAGTTTCCCAGTGGGGTTTTAAATATCAGCCATGAGTCAGATGTTTAATCTCAAAATGCAAACACAAACAGACAAAGGCGCTCGTGCACGGACCATTAAACACAAGCAAAATATTGAAACCAAATCACTATTTAATGTGGCGGACGATAATTTTACCAATCTAAGCGAACTCAATGTAACAAAGACAGGTAAACAAATAATAATGCAGATATCCACATTGTGTGAGATATTCTGTATTAGTACAAGCTCTACTAGTTTCAGAGCCCACCGAGAGGACACACGTCCCACAAGCGGGCTAAGTTTCAATCACAGACTTACCCTGGATTTACCCTCACATTCTGTAGCGTGCCAGGACTTGTTCGGCATGGCTACGGTTATAGCGGGATTAAAATCTTATCTTAAAACACACAATGTACGACCATTCTTTGATTCTAAAGCATATTCATTTATGAGTTCAATGTAATCTCCATTCTTAGTGTTTTGTGTACATTATATCATTCCGTAACAACTACGCAGGCGTTATGTTCATACTGTCCTGAGAACGAGAACCTTTTACTCTCGAAGCTAAGGTTCTATTGAAGCGGTCAAGTTACAACAATACATTGACCTGAGTACATGAATAGTTATAATGAATGTGAAATTCTTCAAATAATCTTATGATATCGTAGATTCTTTATATTTATTGGCCTTAAATCGATTTTCTTTTTCCCTTCTTATAAAGGTCTGTAGATATCAAGGAGGCTAAAGAGAGACCTCCTCGCAGACTCGTTTGGCCATCTCTGACGATATTCACTCTTCGCCTGTACAAGAACACATGCCCAGAACTGGCCACACAAAAGACTTGAGGTGTTTGTGGAATGTCGCGGGATTTGTCCGGGAATGTTCAGGTTTATTGGACAGCTTATGTCTTCTCTGGAACTCTGCCAGGCAGGCATGTTTCTCGCGGCTCACACAGGCAAGATCGTATATACGTCGATGAAGGTTAGACATCCAGGTAATACGATATGCCAAAAAACAGTTACTCAAGCAACTGGATATGATTTTGAAAACGTCAGACGTTTCAGCTAGTATCCACTAGCTTTCGTCAGTGACTGAGAGACCAGAGGGGAAAGCAGGTTTATATACACAACCTGTTGATTGATATGCAAATAAAGTGAAGACAAATTTTTGGAAGTCGAAAAAGGACAACACTTAAGCTCCTGTCCTGTATAACAGGAGCTTTCAGACTAATTTCCATCATCTTGTCTTGACTTGTCTGACATTTGTTCCTTTTTCGACTTCCAAAAATTTGTCTTCACTTTATTTGCATATCAATCAACAGGTTGTGTATATAAACCTGCTTTCCCCTCTGGTCTCTCAGTCACTGACGAAAGCTAGTGGATACTAGCTGAAACGTCTGACGTTTTCAAAATCATATCCAGTTGCTTGAGTAACTGTTTTTTGGCAAGATCGTATATATCTTTCTAACAGAACATGAGGGCAATATAGTACACGTGCGCTTATAACCTTTAAACTTTTCATTCTGTTCATTACCTGTGTGAACGCATACAGGATAACAACAAATAGTGTAGCGGTGTTCCCACGCTGTCTTGGGAACGACTAATCTCGACCCCAGTGTGGAACTGTTGTAGTGGTGTTAATAAGATAGTTGTCCTTGTGCGGGGTTTATTCACAGCTTACCCGACCTAACACCGCCAATTACCACAGTACGTGGCGTTTAGCCATTATCTGTCCAGGCATGTCTGGCATGAGGGCGGACTTGTCTACTGACTTCTGGAAAAGGGGGACAGCCGCTCTTGTGGGGAGGAAAGTAAAATCTATGTACATCCAACCTGTTACTAATGTTTACGATGTCTTCAAGTTAGCCTAGAAACGTGAATAATTGGAAAAAGCCATGGCCAGTTCACAAGATCACAGCAAATGTACAAGGACTCACACAGTCACAGAGCCAATTGATATTTCCAACGTTATTCAAGCCTATATTTTAATGTTTGGAAAAACAGATACAGATCAGTACCCGACGCCATCCCCTGCACCCGGAAACTCTGCCAATAACCCATAAATACATATACTGTGTGCTAATGTTCAAATTGGCGGCGCCAAAACCAGAATAACGTTACCCCCTTCAACCTCCATCGTGAGCTATTCGATAGTATCGAGTAGGTACATGTATACTCTATTTACAGCAACAATGTCATGGCTCAGGCAAGGATTCGACCCCCGGGAAGCTGCAGACGACACGCGTGGCTCCCATCTGGCCCTGTAGTTTGTGTACGGGCGGTTTGAGATGCCAACCCGCGGGCTCGACATTTAACAGGGGCAGTGCTAATTGCTATCAGTATAAATAATATCAGACGGCCGACAGAAACATAGCTGGATGTTTTGATAATCGCGGACGGCGCCACTTTAAACAGTTTGATAACAGGACGTGGGTGGCAGAATTAAAACGTCAAGCCCCACTCTTTGATTATATTGGGTTCATACAATTTAAATTGTTTGTATAACTGTGCCGGTTGGATGTGGAAGTCATGGCTTTAACTACCGTCTGTCACACGGGACGTGTAAATATTGGGAGGGGGGCTATCTTTAGTGACTATATGAAAATGTTTACACAACACTCAAAGTTAAAGAACTGTCCACTTAATACAACTATAGTATACAGCTTCTGGGGACGACCAGATAAGTTAAGAAAGTTAAGTACTGTATATATATATTTCACTAACTTGAAGGCCCCTTGGATAGGAATTCGGAAACGATTATAGACATCATCCTACATTTGTGACTGCTGAATCCGCCTTCAGTAAACCGCCTGCCATGTCCAATACCTGGCTATGTTGACGTCTTTATTTGAGTTGATCCCTCAGTAGCATAAAAACAGACCGGTTTGCTGTATAAACCACCGTCAACCTTATCTTTAGTAGCTCTCGTGGTTTATCATGCTCGGGACATGTGTATTTATACAGGTGTATAGAAGACAGACCGTTTGACAGCTGTGCCTTATAGACAGGTGTTGTACAGAGATACCAGTTGTGACAGTGACCCAGCCCGTTAGCACCCCGGCGTGCCCGTCTGTCGCAGTTTGCTAACATGTCTCCCACCTGACAGCTTGATGGGGATGTTTGCGGAGTAAACATGGCGGATGACAGACGTTTATTTGACATACGCCTTCAGGCATATTTTAGGCAGGTGAGAGGACAAGAGGGAAATGTTTGACTTGCTGCGTTCATCATCTCGGGGGTATGGTGGGGGGGGGAGGGGTGTGTGTGTGTGTGTAGGGGGTGCTATGCGTCCACTGTTGTTCACTTTCCTCTCTCAAAAGGTCTGCGCACAGACTGTGCAGCGGCACGGGTTCCTCTCTGAGACTTTGCGTCTGTGACGTCAATTAATTCAAAATGCCAATTCGACTCAAGCATTGAACGGTTTTTTGTCCGAATCATAGTCATCTATCCTACTGGATGGGAAGAATTTTCCTTGATTTTCAAGGACTTGGGACTCAAAGGTTGCGAAGGAAAGGAACGTTATATGAAAAGTCAGCAACATTTTCGTTATTTCAGGCACGCTGAACTTTTCATATTTTTAATTTTCAACCCACGGCTTCTCCCAACAAAAACAACAACAAACGTCCCTCATGAGCCACCTTCTCCGGGGTCACTAGATCACCTCCGGTCCTGCCGACAACTCAGGTAAACAGCCGTGACGCAGGTGCGAACAGGTGTGCACATGACGTCAGCACCGCCGTGTCAAGGACGGGAAAGGCTCAGACGGTAAGTTGTGCGCATCAACACCCGTCACGGTAAGGTCAACTGTGACTTGGGCCGGGGCAAGCCGTCTTTATTTGGAGGTTGTTATTAAAACTATAAGCGCAGGCTGATCAACTAATAACGGAGATGTATAGTACTGAGCGGTCGAGAGCACATTGATGTAAAGTATGACACGTATGATCAGAGGAAGATATTTTTGAGACAGCATCATAGGGACTAGGGAGATCGTCTCCAATCCTGCCCTATTGGTCTCTTTCCGGGAAATGTCACGTTTGGGAACATTTCCAGTCATACGAAGTAGATGTGGAAGAGAGGGAGTAGACCAAAACATAGAAGGTGGCTGGTTGTTGAAGTGCAAAAAATTGTTGTGCAGGTGACCCGCGGTCTATTTAATAATATTATGATTTAGACCTTCTGGTTTTCAGGGGAGAGCATCTTGCTTGGAGCCTAGTCTTTTATCTCCACAAAAAGTATGGAGTTTCTCACCGTGCATATTTCTGATAT